ATCCAATCAATGTTTCTCTCTCTCCCCCTTCCTCTCTTGCTAAAACCAATAAGCATATCCTGGTTTGAAGATTTTTTTTAAATAATTTTTTTAAAAAGAGGAAAGAACACTCACATGACCAGGGTCTTTTGTTTTGTTTTTGTTTTTGTTTTTGTTTTTGCAATAACCAGAGTGATAAGCAGCGGGTTCCAAAATGCTAAGAAGAATAGAGTTTCTACAATAGTGATTTTCTTAGGTGGCACCATCTGTTTTTCTTTGAATGTAATAAAAATGACAGCTTTTCATGTACTGATACTCCCTAAGCCTTTTAAAGTCAAACATATGATGCTATTTGTGTGTAAAGGTTTTCTCTCACACTCATTTGTGTCTCCAGCTTGAATTTTTATGTAAACTCCCTTGGCTAAATTATACAAGCCACCCACACCCAGTGCCTCCTTCCTTGCTGGAGAGCAGGGCACAGAAACGTGCCGACTGTAGCCTGGAAGGTCCAATGCGCAACTTACTGTACCAAGCAGAGGAAGATTTCCTGCCGGGCAGGGCTGCCCTGTATCCACTCCCCAATTTGTGCCGTGATTGTGGATATGCATCTTCCAAATATGGCGTCTTCAGGCCATGCTTAGCAACCTAGCCTAAACCTGCCCTTTTGTCTCCCTCTTTTCCTTTGTAAACCTGCTAAATCCTTTTCCCCTTTTTCTTTAAAAAGCACTAGTATGCATTTAACAAATAATTGGAGGTATAATTTATATACCATAAAGTTTGCACATTGAAAGTGGTCAGTTTAATGCCTTTTATTAAATTTTCCAAGTTTATAACCATCACCATAATCCAGTTTTAGTGTTTTTCCATCACCACACTATGATCCTTCATGCCCTTCAAAAGTTGATTCCCATTCCTACTCCCAGCCCCAGGCATCTTTCATTTATTATGTCTCTAGATTTGTCTTTCCTAGATAGTTCATATACATGATATCATACAAAGGGTAGTCTTTGGCATTTGGCTTTTTTCACTCAGCATGTTTTTGAGGTTCATCTGTTATAGCATGTGTCAGTGTTTCCTTTGTGTTGCTGAATCATATTCTGTCGTATGGATGTGTATTGCATTTTGTGTATCCACTCACCAGTTGCTGGACACCTGGGTCGTTTTACCTTTTGGCTGTAATGAGTAATGCTGCTATCAACATCTGAGTGCAAATCTTTGTGTGGACATATTAAATCTCTTATTCTTGATAATTAATAAAATTATATGTTTCTAGTTCTTAATTCAAAAAGCAGCTGAGTTGAAGTTTTTATGATTCTAGTGCTTTGCCCCTCAAAAAACTCCTCCAAAACTAAACTGGCTTTGTTTTTACTTTAGTGAGGCTATCTGTTGATTCTTTTCTCTGTGTCAATGGTCCTTAATAGAAAGCAGGCTCCCCACTTGTTAGAAAATATCCCCAACTGCTGTCAGAGAGAGAGAGAAGAAATGGAAAGGGACGGGGAGGGGAGGGAAGGAGAGGAATTATTCAAGTGAAGGGGCATTGATTCAGTACATTCCTTGTGTCCACACCTGTGCTGGGGGCTGAGGAAGCCAACTGAGATGAGACCCGGACCCCAGAGACGTTACTGGTGCAGTGGAAGGGAGTCAGGGAGCTCTTCCCATTCTCCACACTTAGCAGTCAGTAATGAAAGGAGGGTATTTTCAGTTATTTTCTCCTCTCCTGCCTACTTTGATAAAGGAAAATTATTTATAAGTACTGTTAAAGTGTCTACCATTTTTCTTTCCAACTAAAAAAATCTCAGCTCATGCAAGGAAATTAGTATGAGCCAGAGTTTGATGCCTTTTCCATACACAGGTTACATGCTCACCGTTTTCCAAAGAACAGCTGCTGGAAGCCTCATTTGCACCATCCAGCTCTTTTCCTCCTGAGCAGTCTCGGTTGACTGACTATGTTCAGGGCCTGGGAGCACGCAGCCTCGTGAGGTGGCCCATTTTGTTAGTCAACTGGTTTGGTCCAAAGTCTTTCTTATTTTGAACCAGGCATTTTACTCCCTGTTAATTGTTCCATTAGTCTTGTGTCCATATGCCTGTTGTACATGATTTCCTTTTTCCTGTTTTACAGTTAACCCTCTGCTAGTTCAGGAGTTCTTGTAACGGACTCTGACCTCTAGGTGGGGTCTGATTTAGAATAGAGTAATTGGGATGCGAGTCTTAGGGTAGCCAGGTAGTGGTTGGCTGGTTGCTTGGTTGGTTGATTTGAACAGCCACCTACGTCCTGGTGGCTCATATGAAGCTCATGGTTCACCAGAAACTGTATTTCTTATATTCTTAAGTTGTACCTCAGTCACTTTGTGATTGCTGAATCATACTGTTTTACATTTAGCCTTGTCAGATTTGCTCTTACTGGGTTTTTTAATTTTTTTATTGTGGTAAAATATATGTAACAAAGTTTCCATTTTAGCCATTTTTCAATGTGCAGTTCAGTTGTGTTGAGCACATCCTGTTGCCCTGCAGCCGTCGCCACCGTCCATCTCCGGGCTGTTTTCGCCTTCCCAACCCGAAGCTCCGTGTTCTTGAAATGACTGCCCCCTGTGTGCTGCCGTCTCCAGCCCTTGGCGGTCTCCCGTCCCCACTTTCTCTCTGGCTTTGAGTGCCCTATGAGTGGAATGATGCAGTGTTTGTCCTTTTCTGAGTGGCCTATTGTACTTAATATGCTCAAAGTTCATCCATGTCATAGCATTAAAATTACCTTACTTTTTAGGGATGAATTATATTCCACTGTGTGTATATACCATATTTAGTTTATTAATTCAACTGTTGATGAACATATGTGTTGTTTCCACCTTTTGGCTGTTGTGAATAATGCTATTAATATCAGTGTACAAATATGTGTGTGAGTCTTACTGATCTTACAGTTTTGGCTCATTACATTCTGCCCCTGTTTTGTGTTAACGGGATAAGCTTGATCTCTGACTTTACCCACTTCCTGTTGATCTGAAGATACCACTTGTACAAAATGGTCATTTTCCCCATCCTCAGCCTTTTTAAAATTATAACATGGTCTTTACAACTGGACTGTGGGAGCAGACTGCTTCACATTTATCCTGGGTCTGGGTTTGTTAAAATTCTTTTAGTTTAAGACTAAGGAGGGGAGGTCAACCAAATAACCTCTAGGCTGGATCAGAGTGGGAGGTGTGGGGGTTTGTATGTTACCTGTCTACACGAAGGTCATTAAGACTACACAGAAGCTGGCATCAGGTATCAAAATGCAGGGAATTAATTTGCTTCACAAATGTTTACTGAGCTCCTACTTGTGTAAAGCACAAAGTGCTTTTGGGAATCAAAAGATGAATAAAACCCACTCCCAGCTTTCAAGGCATTTATAGTGCAAAATATTATTACCCAAAGATCCTTAAGCAAGGCTTCAGCCCATTGCTGTAAAAACATATCTGTTTAAGATGAAGAGGATTACAGTATACATCAAAAAAGCAAAGTATCCTCTAAAATTATATTTTAATATAGATGGTTGTTAAGCAAGGATTTGGGGACAGACTGAAAAATGATACAGGAAAGCTCTGGAGGTTAGCTTTCACTTTATTTTGGCTAATATGAGAGCACCAAGAAAACAAAAAGTACTCTTGTTTCTTGACACTGTAAAGTTCTTATTATTTTTAGAGAATGGTAATTTTACATTTTTGAAATTCTTTGTCAGAACAATTTAGTTAATAGGTATGTAAATGACTACTTATTTCATTGTGTAGGTGGATCGCCCCGTGTACACTTTCTAAGGAAGAATATAAGTGCTAAAAACTATTAACATTGCAAATACAAAGAAGCAAGAGTTAAGGTTAGACTGTTGTACCTTTGTTGTATTAGGTGTTAGGAGTAAATATGTAAGATCCATCTTATAATTAAAATTTGTTTAATTTACTCAGTGGAATTTCTTAGTCACATACAGCTCTAACTGCCCTTTTTGGATTCAGGAAAACTTCAGTGAATTGCGATGCAAGGTTGTTTCTAATTGCTGGTTTTCAAGCACCAAGGATCCTGGTAAACCTAGCTGGGGTGGGTTAGAAGGAGATGTTGACAGTTAAAGCCACAGTCATAGATTTTCATGCAAGATTTGCAGTCTGAAGCATCTAGTGGGAACGTCACACACACCCACCACACATACACACACACCACACACACACACACACAGACCCACACACACACACACACCCCACACCCCCGAGGCTCTTTTAAAAGTTTATTGTTTTTTCTGCGTGAAAACAATTTCATAGGAGGTTAGGAATTCCAGAGCTCTTCTGGCTTGAGCTGCTTCTTGTGCTCATCATGGGAGCTTCTATAATTCTTGAGTTAAACCAGGCTTAGTCTGGGGGAAGAAGTCACCAGTGGGAGAGAATAAATGGGACTTGCCTCATATATGGTCTCTAGCTCTTAACCCCGCTTGAATTTAAACTACCCACTGAATTGGCTTCATCTTCAATTGTGTTTTAATCATTACATTCCCCTTTCTTGAAATTTCCTCAGGTTTCTAGTTGTCTTGCAAATCACATTAAAATTCTTGGTAATGGATCCCAAGCTTTCTGCCAGTTTGCCCTTCTGTCCTTCTTATCTAATCACTCTTAGCGCCCACTAACATCCTTTCACATTCACAGTCTCCATATGAGGCTGGCCAGTGACACTCATTCGTTGTGTTAATTTCTTTTTGTGGCTATAGTTCATATAATTCCCAGTCCCTGCATGTGTCAGTCTTCAGTAAGCCGAGTTCCTTCTCACTTGCATCTTCCCACTTGGCTCTCCACACAAGTTGTTGTCACAGTGTGTGTTCCTTTATGTGGCAGGCTCTTTCTGGGCTGTGCTATGGCCAGTGAGGATGGAGACGGGGGATTGTGTCCACATACTTTAATCTCCCGGCTCTGTAAAGGGACAGGGGAAGGGAGAAGGCCGCTAGGCTGCGCCCTGTGAGTACTTTTTGGTAAAATGTTTTATGTATTTGCTTTTGTTTCTTTTTCCTTTAGGTACAGAGTGAAGACAGTGTCCTTCTGTTTGTTATTGCCTGGACAATCACAGAAATTATCCGTTACTCCTTTTATACATTCAGCCTATTAAACCATCTGCCTTACCTCATCAAATGGGCCAGGTAAAGAAGTACAGGGAATGAAGACTAACTTTTGATCCATCACTGCAATGTTGTCTGAATACTGCCTCTAAGTTCCTCAAAATAAAATTGTATGAGATGGCAGTTGGATAGATATCTGGTCTGTAGAATTCATCAGAATAAGGAACTCTACTTAATTTTGATTATAGCAATACTGTTTTAATTTTTTTATACTTGTGATTTTTATTGAATCAATTCTTTTCAGTTTTTTCAATAGAGATTTAATGTAACATTACCTTTTTGTCCATATCAAATTTTACTGATGAGCCTCCGCCATTATGATGGTGTTTTGGACCAAGTCCAAGTCTCCTATTCTCAATTTTGCCAATAAGCTATGACTCTTAAATTAATTTCTAATTAATATGCAAACATTAGAAGGCAATTTAGCTTATTATAAGTTTATTTACTTTGATTATTTTTACACTAATATTATGAATTGGATAAAAGGCTGACAGTTCATCTCTTTATCTGAACTAATCCATGAGATAGTTGTAAGCAGTTTTCTGAGTTGAAAAAGTACGGGAAGGATTGAAAAAGCAAAAGGAGCAAAATTATCCTTGGGGCCCAAATGCTTCATCTCATATAAGGAAAATAGTGGTTCCTAGACAGGTTACAAGTTTGGTGGTTAAATTAGAGATAGACCAGTTGTTTGCAACATTTCAAGTATATGAACTCTTTCTTTCTCTCTTTTTTTTGCAATAAACATTTTTATTAAGGAAAAGAGAAGAATGAGGAAAACATAGCAGTTTCTAACCAACCTGGACAGGCATTGTGAACACTGTCTATCCTGGTTGTAGGGAAATTTGATTGACCAAGCCCTGATTTTACTCTTGGAGAATGATTCTTTGGTCCCTTGTTTTCTGTGGCCTATAGAAAATTCTTCCTTTTCACCCTCTTCCTTAGTATGGCTGAGGGCGACAGCAGGGAACATGTCTTCTTTTCATTGTCGCAGATTTCTTAGCACAGTTCCTGTACCTGGAATTTGGAATCCTGGTACTCACTGTTAGCCACAACCAGCCAAAGACATTTTATTTTTTATTATTAAAATATAGCTGACATAAAATACAGGGTCCGGCAGAAGTAAGGCCTGCTTGAGTGTGGTTGGTAGGGTAATAATATGGGTGTAATAATTTATAGTTTTAATTGGAACATTTCACCTAAAATGTCATATGGTGTGCTTGAGTGTGATACTGTTATTTACAAAATTAGATGCTTATGATTTTGTAATAAAAGATTTTTTTAAAAAGGAGGGGGGCATTATTTGCCAGACCCTGTATTATATATGAGTTTCAGGTGTACAACAGAGTCCTCCAACTATTTATATACCTTCCAAAGTGATCAATGTAATAAAATTAGTTACCTGTCACTGTATGATGCTATTACAATACTATTGAATATATCCCCTATACTGTACCTTACATCCCTGTGACTTACTTATTTTCCTTCACCTTTTTCACCTAATCCCCCTACTCCTCTCCTCTCTGGCAACCATTAGTTTGTTTTTTATGTCTATGAGTCTTTTTCTGTTTTGTGTGTTCATTTGTTCTGTTTTGTAGATTCCACATATAAGTGAAATCACATGGTATTTGTCCTTCTCTGTCTGACGCATTGCTTTGCACAATATCCTCTAGGGCCATCCATCATAAATGGCAAGATTTTATTATTTTTTATGGCTGAGTAATATTTTATTACATAGATATATATAAAGTTTTCTTTATTTATCTATCAATGGACCCTTAAGTTGTTTCCATATCTTGGCTGTTATAAATAATGCTGCAGCCAAAGGCTTTTTAAAATCTGAGCTGATGATTTCTTTAGCAATACTCATATGATTTCCTGTTCATTCCATAGGATGAATTTTTCTCTGTACTCTCTGTATTTTGAAACATAGAGAATTTCTTTTACTTTTGTTTAAAGATTTTATTTATTTACTTTTAGAGAGAAAGGAAGGGAGGGAGGAAGAGAGAGGGAGAAACATCAGTGTGTGAGAGATACATTGGTCAGTCACCTCTTGCACATCCCTAACTGGAGACCTGGCCCAAAACCCAAGCATGTGCCCTGACCGGGAACCAAACCGGACCTTTCTTTTTATAGGCCAGCGCTCAATTCACTGAGCCACACCAGCCAGGGCAAGAATTTCTTTTAAAGTGAGAAAAATTGTGTGGATTCTCCCATGTGATAGTGATTACAGATTTTTCACTGAAAAACTACATAATGAACAAAAGCTATTAGGAATTGTTAATGTTTTTTAAAATAGCATACATGAGAGTATTTTAGTTTTCACAATAGCATGTGCAGACTTTTGAATAATTGTAGCAGTGCACACACATTGAGTGTGCTTTTTTTTATTTTCCTGTCCTCAGACCAGACTGGGTGTACATTGTTAGGGATTCCAAGACACATGCTCCACTACCTCCCCTCCAAGTCTCTGCAAATGCCCCATCACCACTTCGAACCCATAGGGTAGGTTCAGTATAAACCATGCCTCAGTGCCCCTGATTTACCAATATTTGGCATCACCTTAGTTATTTTAGGGAGTTGTTTTGAAGAAGTGTTGATTGAGTCAGGCCAAATTTTGGAGCTAGCTGAACACATTTATTTTATTTTAGAACATTCAGAAACATACCAGCTATAGGCCCTTTCTAAAAACTTGCTTGTGAAACCTGAACTTAAACAGTGGGTAAACAGGAAAATACATAAAAAAGAGCTTTTTCAAAGACCAGTACTGATTGGAAGGGTGGGAGCGCATCTTCTACTGAAGCCGGCTTCAAGGCTCAGTAATGAATATTTTGTTTTATTTCAGGTACACACTTTTCATTGTGCTATACCCAATGGGAGTGTCAGGAGAATTGCTCACAATATATGCTGCTTTGCCTTTTGTCAGACAGGCTGGCCTGTACTCCATCAGCTTACCTAACAAATACAATTTCTCCTTTGACTATTATGCATTCCTAATTCTGATCATGATCTCCTACATTCCAAGTAAGTAAACAGTTATACATATATTTATTTATGTTTTTAAAAATGGCTCTTCAGTAGCTAGAGGGAAATGTCTTTGGTTGTTTTTATACCATGTCCAGGTGAATGTAAACCTAGTTTATTAGGAATTTTCTCTGGTAGTAATTGTGGAAAGATGAATCGTTCTCCATTCAGCTGCCAAAACACAGCCCTTCTCAGTGTGTCTGTGGGTTTGAAACAGTGAATACCAGGGTAGGTAACTGTCTATTGGGGAAAAGTACTGGGTGGAAAACAAAAAAAGCTATTAAAGCCTTACCTTGACTTTTTCTTTTTCTCAAGAACTGCTTATTATGCAATTGGAAAAACATTGTAAAGATATTTTTGCATTTTTACTGTATCAAAATAGACAGTTAATTCATTTTTAAGGAATCAGTAGTTAACGGGAAACAAATAACAGAATAAAATAGATTAATTTATTTTTTTCTATATCTCCTATTTTCTTGTTTAGAAACAAGAACTAAACCCATCTGAACAGAACAGAGCGTTCTCTTCAGGATGGCTTCCAGTGTTTTAATAGTCCTGTTAGAGGACTATGTTGGATAATCAGATGTGCCTATCAGTGCACTTGGTAACAGACCAAAAAACGCGTGACTGAGGCTTCTGTGAAGTGAGTCCTGTTTGCTGAGGAAGAGTTGTTTAGACCTTTTCTTGAATTCTAATGTTCATTTGAAATCCTGTGGTTGACTTCCATATATTCAAAAGGCTCTTCTTCTACCCAAAAACATACGGTTCTTCTCCTTTAGCTATTCCCATAGCCATTATGACTCTGAATGTTATTTTAGTCTCTCAGGTGCAATATTCTCCCCTAAACCACAGGTAAAATTCAGACTGAAGGGTTGGGCTTTCTTTAGCCTGCAGCATTAACTGCATGAATCATCCTAACAATCAGAAGCAATGTGTTTGTGTCCTTCTGTGCAAAACTATTTCATGCATTGTGAAAAAACACTACATCCATCCCTAGCTGGTGTGGCTCAGTGGATTGATAGCCGGCCTATAAGGGGGACTGAGTTACCTGAGAGATTTGATATTTTGCCAAAGGTTGCGAAAGGTTGCTGGTTCAATTCCCAGCCAGGGTACATGTGTGGGTTGTGGGCCAGGTCCCCAGTTGGGAGCGTGTGAGAGGCAACCAATCAGTGTTTCTCACATCGATGTTTCTCTCTTTCTCCCTTTCTTCCTCTCTCACTAAAAAAATAAAATCTTTAAAAAAAAAAAAAAAGAATACTAAACTAAGTTAAGAAAACAAAGAGATAAAAAATAAAATCCATGGATAAATTTTTAAAAAAACAACACTACATCCAGATTTCATGTGAACATTTATCCTAGACACATTTCTGCTTCGTGATTCATTTCCCACTCTGTTATCAGGCCTTCTTCTTTGGTGCTGAAATCATGGTGGCTAAAGGCCATCTCTCAAATGTAAAATGTAGTTGATTACCAAACAGACAAATATAGAAGGCTCTAAAAAATTTAAGTAATAAAAATTAACTTTAACAGTTGTTTTCTCACCTTTCTAATATTGTTCTATAAGAGTTTCACCTTCCAATCTCTAGAGCAACAATGCTTAGTTACAGCTTTGCCACACTAGAATAACACATATTATTGCAGTCAGTGGGCATCACAAAATTTATTTTAATTCAACATAAATTTTTTAAATAGAGGATAGGTTCCATTTTGGGTAACTGGGAAAGGGTCAAGGAAGGTATCGTGAAATCAAACCACTAACAAAATTCTGCCACATTGACAGAAATCTGGGGTCCCACTTGAGGGCTGACGCAGGATTTCTAGTCTGTCTGAGAAGGAAGGGCTCCAATCCTGGAACAGCTTTCCAGGGCGACCTGAGTCTGTATGCACCTCCTCGTCTTGGCTGTGTTTTGGTGCCAACCAGTGCCCAATCTTTTCCTCTACATGCTGATCTCATGATACCGAGAGGGGCCTGCTCAAGCATAGGCAGTCTTCCCCAGTGACTGGATTCCTGAAAGAAAACAAACCTAGTTCTGTGAGGTTTTCCTTCGTGGCTTTAAAAGAGATAAAAGAAAAAAACATAGACGTCAGGGCCTACTGTCTTTTAGAGAGTTGAGCAGATTGCTCAAAATGTGCTTTCTTTACCTCAGTTCCTTCCCCTTCCATTTTCAACCTTCTTTTGTTAAGAGAACTTGGCTTGGTTAAAGTTTTTAGTCTTTCTCCTTTTTAAGGTGGCTTAACTCTTACAGACAATGAAAAAATGGAAAATTGTCTATAATTTTTCAAATAAAATAAAGATTAAGTAAATCTTTCAAATAAAGATGAAAAGATTTTCTTCAAATCTCTGGCTTCTGTCCCAGCTCAACATGGCAGCCCAGACCATATCTTCTGCAGACACATCATTGTGTCAGCTGGCACCCACTTTGCTTCTGGCCTGGACCAGTTGCCCTGGATGTTTTCAGTTGTTTAGGTGGTGATATTGAGGCCAATTTGTACAGTTCATTCCCAGCCAACTGCTCGTTTCCATCTTTATAAAACTTTGTATTTATTTCTAGAAACACAGAATTAGGAGAGGTTGCTCTTGCCATGTTGTGTTTATCAAATTTGGTTTTCCTTCTACAACTTAAGTTTCTTTTAATCTTTTTAAATGGGAAGTTGTCCAGAAGTTATCCAGCCATGTAATATGAAAAATAGAGACATTTATTGAAAGAGATATAAGATAAAAGAAACATTGTACATTGGACAATGATGCCTCAGTCCCCTTCAAAGTAGGCACCTTGGGACCTCACACAGTTCTCCCAGTCACCACCAGCTGCCCCATCTTATTTTCCTGAATCTCATCAACAGTCTAAAATCTCTTCCCTTTCAAAGGTGATTTTAGTTTTGGGAAAAGCCAGAAGTCTCAGGGCACCAGATATGGGCTATCAGGTGGACTGAGTTACCTGAGAGATTTGATATTTTGCCAAAAAAACTGCGCAAGATGTGATGTGTGAACTGGTGCATTGTTGTGAGTAAGCTGCCAATCACCAGTGGCCCATAACTGCGGCCTTCTGAGTTATCTGAATAGTTTCCATGGAGGAATGTTCAAACTTAACGCAAAATTAGATGCAGACTCAATTGCTTTACTCATTCAGTCATTTTGAATGTGATGGCCACACAGTACACATGCTCACTCAACAACATCTACCACCTCCAGTGACTACTACAGTGAAGTTGTCATTGTTGACACATACACATTCCAGTCCACTCTCCTTGGCTGCCAGGTGGCATCAGTGTCACGCAAACCATTCTCGTTATATTAACAATGGCTGAACTTTTTCCGGACAGACCTCGTGTGTGTGTGTGTGTGTGTGTGTGTGTGTGTGTGTGTACATCTATATGTACATACAGCAACACCTGACCTATTTGCAATGATGCCCATGAAGCCCAGATTGTGGCCCATGAGCCCTGGCCCTGGGAGTATTCTTCAGCTGGGATGCTTGGAGTCCTTTGCAAGATGCTCCTCCCCTCTATGTTACCATGTGCAGCATCTGCAGGGCTTAGTAGATGTCTAAGTCTTACTTACATATTTCTTCCACATTGGTGAAAATTAGTTATAGAGTGGGGCTTAAAAAAAAAAAAAAGGCTGAGAAACAACGGTGTATGGTGAGGACTCCAAGAAGTTTGGCACTCCAGGTGTCAGTACCACAACCCCACCTCTGGTTTTTAGAGAAACTGAATGAAACTTACCCCAGGCATAGCAGTTCCTGTGCTCTCACCTTCTTACAGAGGGTGGACATAGCAGCACCCACAAGCCCCCACACCCACCCCAAAACACCAAGACACACACGCACATTGCACAGCAACCATCTCCATACAGTGGGTCCTGAACTGGGAGAGCAGAAGGTAGAATTCTAAATAGCCTGTTGTGAGGCTGAGACTTCCTTAGGATTATTCTTCATTATAGCCCAATGTAGTTAAAAATAGTAGCCGCGAATCTGGAATTGTTTCAGCCATTATAGTTGGGTTCAGCGTGAACATGTGGGTATTTCAAATGGAGACAGTGTCATCCAAGCTCTGATCACCAAGGAGTCACTGCTAGAGCTATAAAAAACCTTCAGCCAAAGTATCCCCATCCCTCCCCCAACACACACACAACTCTTTTTTTGTAGTCACTAAGAAACCTCTGGAAGATGTTAAAGAATGAAAGGGCCACATCTGCCCTCTGTTTCTTACACCAGGCTGTTCTGGCACCCAATAGGTCCTTGTCCCCAGGGATGAAGGTGTACTAGGCCATCTTGCTCTAACTACCACTGTGGGCCTAAAGAATGGCTGCTAGGTCCCCCTGCCCTCCCTCCAGGCCTCTGGCCTAGCTGTCAGCCTGTAACCACCCTATAAAGGTGTTGTAATCAGATGCAACTAGAGGAAAAGTCCTTAGTGTACTTCGCCACAACATTTTCCTTTACTAAAGCACATCTATGGAAATGTGACTGGCCCCACATTTTTAAATGATTACAATTAGCATTCTTTATGATTTAATTATATCTTTACTTCCAGTTTTTAGATCATAGAGCTTGTCAAATTTTCTAGTTCTCGAACCAAAATAGTTCTCTCACTGCTGAATTATATGCACAAGCTGAGTCTCTTCTGTGAATGACTCTCTGCCTGCAAGTAGCGAGTGGAGCGGCTGCAGCCCTGCTCCGCAGCAGAGCCGTCTCTGCAGTTCATCAGATCTGCGCACAAACCCACTGATGTCTTAGAATACTTTGGGAGGAGTATTTGAAGTTTGGCCAACTTGGAAGCCATTTAAAAAGGAAGAAACTGTCAGAGAGAGTTGGCAGTACTAGAAATTACCTCCCCCAAAATACAGGTTATTGTCTAAAAGAATAGAGATTGGTGCTGTTGAGAAGGAGAGGAAAGGAAGGATAGTGTACACCTGAGACCATCTCACTGGAGTTGTTTACACAGTTATCGAGCCCCCCGGTTACAGTAACTTTGTGGTGACCAGCAAGGGCGCTCTAGGCATTGGGATGGAATACTTCTTAGTTGTGGAGGGTTGTCACATGTTGCAGGTTTTAGCATTCCTGCCCCCACATGCTGAATCCCACTGACCGGCTCCCCCAACCATTCCCAAATATTCCCTAGGGAGGCAGTACCATCCAGTTCCTTTGATGATCATTACTTTTTTAAAAAGTCTTCATCCAAGGAAATGCCTGTCGATTTTAGAGAGAGGGGGAAGGGAGGGACAGAGAGGAAGATAAACATCAGTGTGAGAGACATGCCATGACTGGGACCGAACCTGCAACCCAGGCACATTCCCTGACCAAGAATCGAATGGTGTACAGGTTGATGCTCCAACCCACCAAGCCACACTGGCCAGGGCTGAGAGCTATTACTTTTAAAAGTAATCTATAAATTACCAAGGACAAAATCTTCAGTGCCTAAGATACTGGCAATCTATATTTTAGTGAAGACTTTTTCTGCATTCAAACTTGACTTAGTTGTATTCCGATCAAATGTATCAGCACTCCCGCCCACTCAAGGAACAACCTTTCTAAGGAGCCTAAAGCCCGGTCCTGACTCCGTCAGTGATTTGCAGTGAAACCCCAGACAAGTTATCGATGCTTTCTAGGACTTGAATTCCTCCTCTGAGACAGGGATAATGACTCCATCACTAGAATTCTTCACCTGCTTGTTGTGAAATCAGTGAACGAGTATAAAGATAATAAGAGTGTAAAGAATATCATTTGGTGGCTCTGTGGCATCTTGACTGGTATTGATAGTGATAGTAGTGTCTGCCAGTCCAGCCCGCACCAGCCTTCCTCCTTGGCTAATAACTTAGGAAAAGGTAGGTCTTTTGTATTTTTCTTCCCCTTCCCCAGGCTCACCTGTTGGTTGCTGGATGATAAAGTATCAGAAAGTTATAAAGGACAATAAGTCCCTGTGCTTTAAATAGAACATGCAATTTTAAACGATCTCCTTAACCAATTATTTCTTTTCTTTCCAGTTTTTCCCCAGTTATATTTCCACATGATACACCAGAGAAGAAAGGTCCTTTCTCATACTGAAGAACACAAGAAATTTGAATAGTTCCTGTTTCCTGAATCCCTCCAAAAACAAACTTTTCAATGACAAAAAAATGCTGCAAACTTTTTGAGTTCCCAATACGTTTCATAGAAAATAAGAACTATTTTTAAAATACTAAATAAAGCAAAACAAATACCAAATCCAGTGTCACACAGGCCTGGGATTTTATAAAATTTAAAACACACACACACAACAAAAAAAGATGCTCTTACATAAAACATCCTGGCCAGTCCATTAGGCATGCTTTTTCAACCAGAAGTTCCCAGTATTTATTATGGCACTAGAAAGGAATTTGGCATTTTCTACCCTTCTGTTTCCTTCATGTATCTGATAAATAAAGACCTGTAACATTAAATGCTGAGAGTTACAGTCTGAGCGATGACACTGTACCTGCGGAACGCCCAGCTTGCAGTAGAGTTCCGTTTCAGTCTGTTGTGTGTGTAGCGTTCCCTTTCAAAGCGCTTGACTGCATGCTGGAAAATATTTGTATTTTTGAAGCAGCAAACATTGTTCTCTGGAATGCTCTGAGGTTATGGCTAGGACCTTTCCCATCATATCTAGTGAATGAAATATACAGTTTTTGTGTTTGTGAAGCTTTCAGATAATACTCATAATCAGAAAACAACTAGAATCCTTTTGTTTGTTTTCCGTTGAGTCATTACTGCTTACCACTAAGAAACGTGCTTGAATGTAATAAGTATGTGTACATCATAGAGAACGTACCTTATCTGGGGCTCAGCCTCACTCATATTTTAACAAAATGACAGTTCTCAGAAAGGGAAAGTTTCATCGCTAGTAAATGACAGGTACCTTTCATAGTACCGTTCTCAGAATCACTCTTGAGTAACGCATTTGCCAATCGCTATTCTCATTTATGGATCTAAAACCCACCTAGTCACAGGAGTAGAGAATCTGTTATTGAAACTCATGGAAGGTGTTACTTTAGAAATGAAGTCTGGAAGAACATTCAGGAATAGGTTTTTACACCCTTATTATTTTATTTTTTAATTTTCACAAAACTCTTCTGTTTGGCAATTTTCCCTAATCATGGCCCTCTGCAATCCCCACCAACTTGTAAGTCCAGAGGCAGTGAAATGCCCTGGTTGGGCAGCTGAGCTAAAAGCAGGACCATCCCATGTGCTGGAGCAGCCAAGAAATATTTTGGTCAAATGGACATTGTCTAATTAACATCATGTCTTTATACCATTCAGTTGCTCAACTGTGCATTTAAAACTCTTCAAGAAAAGGTTGGTGAAAATGTAAGGCTCAAGTTTAAATGTGCATTAGATTTTAAACACAGGATATTCTTTGTGGAACATTTTTGTCTTTTTTTTTTTCTACTTGGTTGATCTTTAAAATTTTAATAGTCTAGCTTACAGAGTACTTATTTAAAATATAATTGCTAATATCAGAAGAGTGTCATAATGGAAAACTAATTTTTTAATTGCTTATTTTCATAGAGGCATGAAAATTAGTATAAAATGAGAAAAAATATGCAGACTAAAGTATAATGCAGGCAGTTGTATAATAAATTATTTTTGAAGTTGAACATTAAAATTCTGCTCCTTAAAGTCAGCATTCAACTTGGGTGTGCTGAGATTAGAATCTGTTCTCGTACTTGATAAAATATGTGGGAAAGATTGTATTTCATGCTTTTCTCTTTTTACTCTCCAAAATGTATTTCTACTGTAAAATGGAATCAATTTGGGTTATATTAGACTTATTACTTAATTTGGGTAAGATTTTTTCAATTGTTTTTGGAATAGTTAGTAGACGATGGGATGAAAAATGCAGGTTTTTCAAGATTGCTGGATTGGTTTTATTCAGGCCTCTCTGTTATAATTTGTCACTATTTACGAAAACACACTGTTGCAGACAGTGGTATTGAATCTAACTGAACTTTGGCAACAAGAACACAGCCAACAACTCCTTTCTCAAAAAGAGTCCCAACCCCAGTGTTATTTTTGAACATCAAACATTGAAAATGCTTATGGCAGATCAGTAAGACTTGCCATCGTGTCCTTCAGTAACTGCTTCCTTTAGCTCCAACATAAATTGATTTTTCCTTTGAAGTGGTGGCATCCTTTTATGAGCTGAGACCATCAAACCCCACCAAATGTCCCTCTGCTTATAAAGTGTGAATGAAGAGGTGGGGTTGGTGGTTATTTTGTCAGACTGCAGGTTCATTGCCGGGCACAGTCATAGGCATTGTCTGCCCAGCTGCGCCCCACTAGGCTGTTTCAGAGCCCCTCTCAGGGACCACCTTCTGGCAGGGAATTCTGTGAAGTACGCAGTAGTGCTTTGTAGACACAGCTGCTAATTTGCATATTGCTGTGTTCTGTTTGCTAAGGTTGGGAATTTTCATTTAACATGAACTGCCTATTATCAAAGGCACCATGGAGAGTTAGTCATGGAATAAAGCACCATCCTCCCAGACAAGGTTCCTCTGAAGTGAACTTCCTACAGAAGATGTAGCGTTAAAGAGGCATGTGAACAGATTCTGCCCTCATTTCCATTTGAGCTTTTAGTTATTCATCTAATAAAAGGTTGGCATTTACGTGATACAATCTATGAATTATTTTCAATTCTAAGTTTCAGATAAAACATAAAACGTCAAAATCAGCATATACCACTCCTTTGGAATTTGGGTAAAAATTTATACAACCATATATATATAGTCATTTTTGTATTTTTTCTATGTTGTGAAAACCAAAATTGTAATTTTATAAGTCTTTGATTCACTAAAATTCTATAATTTAAATGGATTTTTTGTATATTTAGAAATAAGCATTCAAAGACTATGCTAAACTTTCTATGCATGCATTTGGAAGCTGTTTTTACCTGATAATGTTAACATACTAATAAGTTGTATTCATAAAATACTGATCTGTGTTGCATTTCAGAATAAACTGGTGCGTGCTCTGCCTGGATCTGAAATACTGACCAGTTGATTCTTAGTGATTTTTTTCACATTAAATTGGCCTGAAAGTGGTGGAGTAGGAATATGGAAGAGTTTCAGTTCTGTTACAGATTCCAGTTCTTTCTTTGACAGAGTTGAAATGTACCTCTACTAACCATAATGATCCTGCACTTACAGGAAAAATAGACAGGTTATATTAAGAGGTTTCCATAAAGTCATTCTTCCTGCTAGTCTTCAGAGGGACAAGAGGGATTCCTCATGTAATGACCAGAAAACCTAAGAAATTCATCAGTAAAAGATGGACGGGTTTTTTTTTTTTTCTTTTCTGTTTAATCTAACTCATCTAACAGAAGTTGAAAGGGGAAATACTATGGCCCGGCCATGTTCATCGTATATTCAAATACCTGGTCAAAGGGTCACGTACCTCCTTCTGAACATGCAGGACAATCCTGGACGCTGCTTTGCACACCCTGAAGTTGTGGAAAGGACACAGCAGGACACTCTCAGTCCAGCCAGTTCTAAAATTTCTTCACCTTAAAATGAAAGTGCTGATGTCTTCAGGTGCTAGGCACTTTCTCATTATTTCTTTGGGTGATTTCTAGTCTTACCTCCAGCAGTAAGGTGCCCCCACGTGAGTCTTCCAGGTCTCCTTCAGAGTTAACAACCACTGGTGTCCAAGAGTGTGATCTTGATTCCAAAGGGGAACATTTTCTTTCTAAATGCTTTCTGATCACAGCTTAGATGTTACCAGCGCAGTGGTTAGAGTTATAACTACCTCTCTCATACAGAGTTTTATCTTTTTGAGAGGTAGGCTTTTTATTTACAAAAAGAAAAATAAAATTATTGCAACTGAAAATGAGGACCAGATGGTAAAGTTAATAGTAGAGGCAATCCAGAAAATACCACTTTACAATCTTAGGGTGGCAATGGAAACTAGGGCTTTCTAATTTGTCATTGTCATATTTTGTGGCAATTATGTGTACTATGTTAACATGAGCCCTAGCCTGAGGAATTACCATTGGTATAATTAAGAGACTTGCTGTTCACACAGCATTCCAAAAATACCACTGTGTTGTTCTGTTCCCTTTAACAAGAATGAAGACTAGCTTTGCAATTTCTCATTATTTTTTTTTAATCCTAGCCTTACAAGTAGACTGGCTCATTGTCATACAGTTTAATGGTGAAGAAACTGTTCTAAGCAACTATTACCAAAAATAGCCATACCTATTAACATTCCACTGCCTGCAGCTGAAAACTAGAGTTAGAAGAGCTGTGTGGGGGTTTTTTGACGACTTTCTTTTAGACCTGTGAGGGACTATTTAATCTTTTTCTTTTTCTTTTTTTTTCAAATTTGGAGATAGACCCCTTAGGGGTAAGCTTCATTGCCAAAAATAATCTTTTTTCCCCACAAAAGGCAATTCACTCTGTAAGTCTCATTCAATGAGCAAAAATAAAATGTGTGCGAGCCTGTGCATAAACACCTAAGTACCCATTTCATAAATCTTTTTAATATTTGGACATTGTATTCTGCTCACTAATTCTAGCGCATAGACATTACCAGGGCAGCTCTCTTGCAGCTGTCTTTGACCTTGGTGGGTGCAATCCACATACCTTTCCAGATGCTATCCTTGGTTAAAGCCCAAACATCATTTTTGCCTCCCATGTTGTTGTAGCCTGGCTGCCCCGCTGTGGGGCAGCACCTCTCTAGTGATCTGGGGCCGTGGGAATTAAAGGAGTTTGGGAAACAGCTTTAGGCCAAAGACATGGAAGGGGCGAAAAAACACTAATGAAAATTAGTTACGGGTCTCTAATGTCCATATAAAGTAAAGGCAGTCAGATCTCAGCTTGTCCTGGAGGGATACAGGAAGTAATACTTTTAAAGCAGAGAAACCAGCTTGGATGCATGCTGGGCGGCTCCATCTATTGCCTACTGCAGAGCCCTCCTGGCATGGACCTGCAGGCTGCTTGGTTTCGAAATGCACAGGGCTTTTGGAGCTAGTCAGAAGGCAGGTGTTAGTGCTCTTGTTTAACGGGAGAGCCTGCTTGCTAGTCTTTGAAACGTTCGGGGAGGTCAGTTCCCACTCTTCTTCTGTCTCTGGATATTTTTGGAGGGTAGCCTGGGCCGTGAGAAAATGTCAGGCCACCTTATAAGGCCACGTCTGGCCCCAAGAATGCTTGTCTGCAGCATATCCAATACACTCCGTGGGTGTGAATTAACTTGACTTTTGGACTGTGGGTTTTCTCACAGATTTAAAATGCTTCTGTTCATGCCATGGATTATTCTCACTCTTTAACAGGCTTAAAGTCTCCCTCAAGAAAGAGCTGTTTAAATGACACCAACTTTGGACATACCAAATAGATACCCAAAAGCACATGTAAACCAGCTAATGTCCTCGACCACCACACTTGTCACTGTGTGGGGCCGGTAGCAATAGCCTGCCTCTGCTGGTTGGTTCCTACAGGGTCCGACAGAAGCAGTGCCTGCTTGAGTGTGGTTGGTAGGGTGATAATATGGGTGTAATAATTTAGTTTTAATTCGAACATTTCACCTAAAATGTCATGTGGTGTGTTTGAGTGTGTTATTGTTATATTACAGAATTACATGCTTATAATTTTGTAATAGAAAAGGGGCGTTATTTGTGCTGGACCCTGTATAACTAGTTTATGTCAGAGTGAAATGCACAGAATGTTAGTTCTGAGCAATGATGGAAATACAGATATGTTAGGGGGAGGGGTATTCTGTGGTTTAAAAAGTTGATACAAAATTAAAGTTTTCTCTCCTGCTAAACTTTTCAGACTTTTTGGCATATGAATGTAGTTTGTGAATGGGTGGGGGGAACAGGAAGGATGCTAATACAAGATTTCCAAAAGCTACTTTGACCTTTATCCTTGAAATGTCTTCAGGGCTAAGGCTCCTTGAACACATTGAAGGCTCCTTGAGAAACATTAATCTAGCAGCTTTCCCCATGGGGAATGTTAACCCATCCAGGGGGGGTGGGGCGGGGAAACCGATAGGTAAATGAATTCTTAGATTGAGAACCCAGGGGTCAGCAGCCCTAGCCGGAGTCTATCATTTGCTGCTTATTGATGGATCTAAAAGGTGTCAGTCTACCAGCGGATGGGAACTTTGTTCATATGAGATGTGCCGGCTGGGACCAACAGCCCCTATGATGCCTCACAGGCTTAAAATCCCAAGCCGGGATCAGTCTACCTTCCACTCCCCCTGTGCCTACACCCATTTCTGAACTCGGATACAGGTGCCCACTGTCAGCCTGCTCACTTTGGGGATATGGTCTTGCACATTCCCACTGTCGCCAGGTGGGGCTGCTGTGTCCCGGTGTGCCCTGTTACCTGACAAGATTTTAGAGTTCCTTCCATTCTGGATTGCATCCGCCCCACATCAGTTCACCACACAGACCCTTCTGAGCCAGAGAAGCCAACACTATAGAAAGTAAATCCAAGCCCCCAAAAGGTCTCATGACCTGTCCCAGCCACACAGTGAGACAGAGAACTGGGACTAGCTCTCGGCCCCCTGCCAGGGCGGCTCCAGGGCTGTGGGCCCTCTTCTGTCCACACCCATCCCATGGCTTTGCTGAAGCTTCCACCGCTCTTCCTCCTCTTCTGTTTCCCTGTCTCCCCTGTCCATGACCCCTCAACCTTCTCCCCGGGCCCCTGCTGCCAGGCTCCACTGTTCTCACTGCTGTCATGAACCTCCGTGCCCCTGCGCACCCACGTGGCAAAGCCCCAAGCTGCGGTCAGTCCAGCTCCACCCTCCCCTAGACCGCTCACACTGGGGCCTGCCCGCCTGGCACACTGTCCATCATTCCCTTTAAACTCCATCTCCTCCTTAAAGCTTTGACTTACTCTCAGGCCAAAATAGCACCCCAAATTTCACAGAGAAAAGAGCCATCACACAGCAATCTTTCAGCTTTCCATCGCCAAATCTACAAACTTATAAATGTATATTAAACCTATATTGGCTCACCCTTTTCGTGTCTTGATGTTAGAATAGAAGGGGTGACAAAGGAGATAATCCCTCCTTTGTGCTCTAGTTGTTTCCATTGTTTGCCCCCGCAGGGACCTTACTTTAGCCACTTCCATCTCTCTGTCCTTCCTCTTGGCCAGCTCTTCCCATCAAATACCTCCCTACCTTGACCTTGACCCCATGCACTTCACTGTTTCCATCCTCTCTCTTCCTGTTCTCTGGAAGAGTTGACTGCAAGCACTTCTGTATTCCTTACCTCCTAAGTCTCTTCCAGCTCACCAGTCCGGCTCTTCCTATGCCACTGACCTGTCTCTGTTCCTGTTATGAAATCCTACACATGCTCTTTAGTCTTGGTCTCATGGTTGAAACTGGGATGCCATTCTGCTGATGTTAGTAATATGGTATGGCTTTGGAGTAGACTCGGGGTGCCGGTAATACCCAATCCTGGTCCAAAACTCTCAGTTCTCCTCCGTAATGAAGGTGTATGCAAAGGAAATGATGGGGAGCCAGCCAACAAAAAGTGTAATGATCAGCCGTGGCTTAAGCTTCCAGGGGGCATCACGGCAAGCTGGACAAAACCTTAGAGAACACTCCTACTTGCTAAACTAGTAATAGATAGTAGCTCAGACTAAAGGAGATTGTGAGGCATGCTCAGCACACCTCCCACCCTGCCGCACCTGACTCATCTCCATCCCAGCTCTCACCACTGATAGGGAGAAAGGCTGACCCACACAACACCTCCCCTGATTGAGGGTGTGTGCTGCCACGTGTGGCACCAGGCTGGCCCAGGCTGGTGGAGGCCCAGGCCAGGGAGCACAGGAAAGCATCTAGGCAGAAAGCAGGTCCTGCTCTGCTTAGCCACTGAGGGCTGGGACATCCACAAGAGAGACCCCACAGCCCAGGACACCGACCTCTGCATGCCCATTGGCTCCACTCACTCTCACTAGCAGATGTAGCTCCATCAGCTCTTGAAACTGAGCACTGGAATCAGCCTTGCTCTTTCTCAGGAATGAGCTAAGACTTGCTGGGGGGAAATGAAGAGAG